CCCGGGCACGTGGCTATGTGGGGGGGTGCTGGCCCCAGGTGCAGGGCTATGTGTGTGTGTGGGGGGGTGCTGACCCCAGGAGTGCGGCGAAGTGGCCGCCCGCGCTCTGGGCACGCAGCGCATGGGGAGCGCTGGCCCCGGGCGCGTGGCTATGGGGGGCACCGGCCCCAGGCACATGGCTAATGGAGGTGTGGCATATATGTGGCCCCGCCCCCTGGTGCGCGAGTGTCCCCGCCCTCTGGTGCCCGGCCCCCTGGCGCCGTCAAATGGTTGGGGACCACTGCAATAGAGAATCTATAGATATGGTGATAACTATTGACATAAAACATTTTAATTCATGTTTGGAGACTTAATTGAGGTAAAATTATTTTAGATTTTTAAATTCAAATTTTTGTTAGATGTATCCTGAATACAGTATATTGTGACGTTTAGTTTCCTTGTCTTGGAGTCTGTTTCATGTTCCAACGAATAGAAAGAACATCCTAAGGGTTTTGTATATCTTTGCAGGTTCTATCTTACTAAATGCACTGATGAAACAGCCTGTTGTTCGTGGCTCATTATTAGGACTCTGTCATCTTCTTAGTAGTAATTCTGAAGTACTACCTGGGTCGGTCTTGCAGCCTAGCTTTTTCAACACGTAAGTTTTAATATTACCAGGTTTTTATAGTTAATAGGGCTGTTAAGTAACACACATTAATGCCTGCGATTAATGCAAGGCAGAATTAATGTGTTAAAATTAACACATGTTAATCGCAGGCATTTCACACGGTGTTTCAAAGTGGCAGTGCAAGCGGAGCCTGGGATCAGCTGGAGTCCCCACCCAACCCTGAGCTCTGTGCAGCATCGCCCTTTGAAACACCACCATGGCAGCATTTCAAAGAGGCAGCGCTGCACAGCTGATCCCAAGCTCCCGCGATGTTGCCCCTTTCAAACACTACAGTGGCATTTCAAAGGGTAGCGCAACGCAGAGCCTGGGGTCAGCTGGAGTAGTCTTATTATTTAACAGCACGATCAATCGTGATTAATTTTTTAAATTGTTCTACAGCCCTAATAGTTAACAATTTTTGTTGAGAGATAAATTGTGCTCTTTACTGGGAGTACATTTATAGTATATATAAAGTTTGGTTTTTTTAAATATGAATGTGGTGCAAAATCCTAAGTGCATAGGCCTTGCAGCATGTTTTACAAGATTGTTTTGCTCCTTTCTGTTTAATTGCTTTTTTCACTTGATGTGTCAAAATTATTTGTCTTTTGTTATAGGATAATTAAGCCAAAGGAACACACAGGATTGTCTCACCAAAAATGTTTGCTCACAATCTCTAGATATTGCTGTGATATTTGTGGTGCTTTGTACTTTGCAAATGTTTTCCTTGATTAAATTATTCAGATGTCTTCTTGTCAAATAATACTTCTAAGCAATATAGCTTGTAATGGAGGTAATGATCTTAAAAGCTGCCTTTGCATTGCAACTGGCAAAGCAGTTATATAAATTCTAAAATCTTAATACTATAACTGGATACCATGTAAGTACTTGATTATTAGGTCCCTACCAAATTGGCAGCCATGAAAAACACGTCACAGATTGTGAACGTAAAAATGGCCATACTGGGTGAGACCAAAGGTCCATTTAGCCTCGTATCCTGTCTTACGACAGTGGCCAATGCTAGGGGCCCACAGAGGGAATGAACGGGACAGGGAATTATCAAGTGATCTCACCCCTGCCATCCATGCCCGGCTTCGGACAAACAGAGACTAGAGACATCATCGCTATCCAGTCAACTAAATGTCCCACTGAGATTTGAACTCAGAACCCTGGATTCAAAGTCCAGAGGCCTCACTATGGAACAAGGCATTGAAATCTGGTCTCCCCCAGTGAAATCTATGTGTGTTTATCCTATACTCTACAAGAGTTTTACAGGGGAGACCACTGTTTCTTAAATTGTGGGTCCTGACCTAAAAGAATTGCAAGGGGGTTGCAAGGTCATTTTAAAGGTTGTTATATTACTTCTGCACTGCCTTCAGAACTGGTCAGCCAGAGAGCAGGCACCGGCCAGGTGCCCAGCTCTGAAGTCAGCATTCCACCTGCAGCAGTACAGAATTAAGGGTGGCCATGCCCTACCATGTTACCTTCACTTCTGTGCTGTTTCCTTAAGGGCTGGGTGGATGCAGAATAGCAGCTGCTGATGCAGGTCCCAGCTCTGCTGGAAGCAGCACAGAAATAAGGATGGCAATATCCTACCATGCCATCCTTCCAGCTATTGGCAATAGCCCTGCCTTCAGAGTGGGGCTCTGAGCCAGCAGCCACTGCAGCAGCAGCACAGAAATAAGGGTAGCAGTACTGCAATCCCCCCTCCTCCACAATAACACTGCACACACACACATCAACTTCTTTTTGGGGCCAGGATCCCTCTAATTACAACACTATAAAACTGCAGATGTTATAAGAGATCATTTAATTTCACCATCAGAAATTTCCTTAAATGGATCACCAGTTTGACAAGGCCCTGATGGTGGCCTAAACATTTCCAACTTTAAAGGATCTACAGTAATTCTTATCATAAAATGTTAGAACTGGACCTCGATAGATCATCAAGTCCAGACCTCTGCCCTCACGGCAGGACCATCCTTGATAGATGTCTATCCAATCTGCTCCTAAATATCTCTAGTGATGGAGATTTCACAACCTCCCTAGGGAATTTATTCTAGTGTTTAATCACTTTGATAGGAAGTTTTTCCTAATTTCCAACCTAAACCATCCTTGCTGCAATTTATGCCCATTGCTTCTTGTCCTATCCTCAGAGGCCAAGGAGAACAATTTTTCTCCTTCCTCCTTATAACACTGTTTTAGATACTTGAAAACCGTTATCATGTCCCCTCTCAGTATTCTCTCTTCTAAATTAAAACCAACCCAGTTCTTTCAGTCTTCCCTCATAGGTCATGTTTTCTAGACCTTTAATCATTTTTGTTGCTCTTCTTTGGACCTCTTTCAATTTCTCCCTATCTTTTTTTGATGTGTTGTCCAGAACTGGACATAATACTCCAATTTGGGCCTAATCAGCACAGAGTAGAACGGAAGAATGATTTCTCAGTTCTTGCTCACAACACTCCTGTTAATGAATCCAAGAATCATGTTTCCTTTTTATTTTGCAACAGCGTCACACTGTTGACTCACATTTAGCTTGTGGTCCACTGTGACCCCTAAATCCCTTTCAGCAGTACTCCTTCCTAAACAGTCACTTTCCATTCTGTATGTGTAAAAATGATTGTTTCTTCCTAAGTGGAGTAGTTTGTGTTGAATCTCTGATCTTTGAAACACTGATAATTTGTATTGTATTTCTGGATATGAAAGGACTGATAATTTTAGATCCAGTTGTGTTTTGGGGCCATGTCTTGAGAGAGAAATAGTATTTAATTCTTTGGTTTTTCATCACTCTGTAAAATTGTATATAGAAATCAGTTTGTCCTATATTTTCATTAGCTGCTAAAGTATCTTTATCTTGGATATCTTGCTACATAAATAACACTGCTGTGTCTCTCCACAAATATAGTGTTCCAAGCCAAGTTGTCTTCAGTATGCTAGTCCCTAGCTTTCTTGTTTCTTGTACTGGGAATTTGTGTATTTGTTCAAACTAGGGATGTGAAGGTTTAACCAGTAAGACTCGCCCTTAATGAGTGAGGCTTACTGGTTAAGGTTAACTGGTGGGGCTGGAGCAGCTCCCTGCCTACTGCAGACGAGCTGCTTCAGTGCCACTCCTGCCTGTGGTGGGTCCGGATGCCCCACTAGCCAGTTAACCAACTAGAAGTGGGTGAAACAATAAGTTTAAAATAGTTTTGACTAGGGATGTAAACTTCCTTTTTCCTTTTAAGAAGTTATTTCCATGTTCCCTTCATTCATGCATTGCTTTTTCTAAGGCTCTGCAGTTTTTGTACAATTGAAATACTGTAGTGGCTGAAACCATGTGAATGCTTGTATGAAAGTTCATGTTCCATGATACATTAGCATCCATTCCTTTGGCCACTCCCAATTGTTCTGAAGAAAGAAATATGATCATGTCATGCCATTTGAATGCATCATCTGGTCAGGACAAACCTGGGACAGGAAGTACAGTAGACCCATAGAGTTAGGAACTGACCAGTCAACCACACACCTCATTTAGAAACTAGAAGTACCTAATCAAGCAGCAGCAGAGACCAGTTCTCTTCTCCTCCCCCCCCCCCCCCAAAAAGCGAGTACAGGCAGGCCCCGGGTTACATGGATCCGACTTACATCGGATCCCTACTTACAAACGGGGTGAGGCAACCCCGCAGTAGCTGCTTCCTCCCAGCAGACCAGGGAGACGCGGAGTGGCTTTTCTCAGCAGACACCTCAGCTTGAGAATAAAGGACTGAGGGAAGTGAGGTGTGGGAGAATAAAACTGAGCTCTGGAGAAATGTTTGGCTAGAGTTTCCCCTACAATATGTACCAGTTCTGACTTACATACAAATTCAACTTAAGAACAAACCTACAGTCCCTATCTTGTACGTAACCCGGGGACTGCCTGTACAGTACTGTGTTAAATGTAAAATACAGTAGGGCAGGGGGAAGGGAAAGTAGCACTTTTGTTCTACACAGTACAGTGGGGCGGGGAGCAGGGAAAGTAGCACTTTTGTTCTACACAGTAAAGTGTCAAAGCTTTAATTAATGTTCATTTGTGAACTTTTGTAGGACAACTGGAACTTTTTTGTTTTTGTGTTTTTGTTCAGAGTTATGAATAATCTCTATTCCCAACATGCTCCTAACTTTGAGGTTCTACAGGGCTTTAAAAGTACGAGCAATGCATCCATTTAATTTTATTCAGCTTTGCTGGCAATTGTGCTAAATAATGTATCTAGTGAACATTTACCATACTTGAAAAAAGTGCAATAGATACAATTATAAAAAATGTACAGGCTAACTTCTCACATAATCTGTGTGTGTGGGGGGGAAATGCCTCAAGTATCAGTGCCGCTGTCAAAATTTAACTTCTCACATAATCTGTGTCTGTTTGTGGGAAATGCCTCAAGTATCAGTGCCGCTGTCAAAATTTAGGCATACATCTACTGTTTTTTATCATTTGCATCCTTAAGTAGTGTAGGAGTAAGGAGACTTTCACAATATATTTTCTGTTTTGCAATTTAAATAAGCCAGATTTGCGTTTATTCATCAAGTAGCTGACCTGAGACAATGGAAAAAATGGCCTTCCAGCAGTAACTACCCAGAGGACTAACGGTAAGGTCAGCTGGCAAGTTATGCTGCTTGCATGGTAGGGAAGAGTGCTCTAGTGGTGGTCTTTCTCCCACATGTGCATACAATGGTGATTTAACTGTCTTATTTTGAAATTGGACATCTTAATGCAATTATTTTTTCATGAATAACCAGAAGATCAAAAGATATGCTTGGCTATTTTGCTGTCTTTGGTACATTGCATGTTTTGAACAATTTCATTTTGTTTTTGACTAGAGGATCTACAGGAATATCTAGCCTCAGGACATCTTATTCTCAGGATGGAGCTTCTTCTCTTGCTGCTTTAAGAGAGGTTCAAAAACTTGCAATAACAGGATTGAATTTGATTGCTCTGGATGAAGGCTCATCTGAGGGAGACCTGGCAGAAAGTGAGCAAGGATTATTCCTTCTTAAACGCTTTAAGATCCCAGGCGCAGTGCATCTTCTGCCACTAGTGGAATATCATATCAGTGCATACTGTCAAGCTCTACAGTTGTGGGCAAAGTCAAGAAATAGTCCTTCTGAAGACCAATCAGTTAGTTCCTCTAGAACTAATTCAAGTATAATATCCGCTACAGAGGATTTTAGATCTACTCTGGAAGAGACTACAATTACATCTCTAGGTGTTCTTTATTACTTGGTATATTACAGCTGGGATGTTGTTTATACATTACTATCTTCAGAAATGAAAAGAGTGTCTAAGATGGAAAAGAATACGATGTGCAATAATCAGTCTGACGATAAAAAAGAAAATTCAAGACCACAAGACTTAACTGTAGAAACTCAAGATGCTGCTAATAATGACCAATCCCAGCCTTCTTTGTTCAAAAAGTTGATTCAGCTATTAGCTTTGTCTTCATCAGCAACAGGTTCCCAGAAAGTCAGTATCATGAATCAAAGCCTGAAGGTTTTGGTGAAACTAGCTGAGAATTCAACAGCTGAGTTACTAATAAGGTAAGACAAGCTTGAGAATGTTTTACAATTTTTTCCATCCCTTTTAGTTTGCATTCCCAAACAATTCCTATTTTCCTCTTCAAAATTGTGATGCACATGGATGACAGCAATATTTATGTGCATGAGGTGATCACAGACTTCTCTCTATTGTTACTTCTAATAGCAACTGTGGATGACACCAGTGCCTTTTCTACTAATGAACAAACAGGAATCCTGTGGCACCTTAGAGTCTAACAGATAAATCTGTTAGTTTCTAAGGTGCCACAGGACTCCTTGTTTTTGCAGATAGACTGACACAGCTACCCCTCTGAGACTCTTTTACTCATGAACATTATAGGTGCCCACCAGCAGTAAAACTGAACTAGTTCTGCTATGCTTGCACTTCACAGCTGTGGTTACCCTCAGAGGCAAGTTCTCATTTGCCACTGTCAAGTGAAAATTTTTCAAGCTTTTGTCATAGTCACAATTCCCCTTAAACGTGTTCTGTTACATTATCAGAGTCACTTGGTAAATATGTTCAAAATGTTGACTCTTTGCATTGCTTTGGGAACAAAATCCTAGTTCTTAAATAATGTAGTATACTTCTAAATGAGATTTGGGCCTGGAAGTGATTGTGTGCATAATTGCAGGTTTGTTTTTAGAGGATGAATTAGAGGATCCTTTGAAAATGTGGCTGACTGAGTATATTTACTTTGAGTGGTCTCCTTCTAACAATAGTTTTTCTCCTAAGTTGGAGGAATAGCTGTGTAGTAGACCTATGTTTTGTGTAGCTATAGTCTGTCACGTGCAGCATATATGAACTAGATCATCATGTCTACATCAGTGTTTAAAATCCTAAATAAAATGATTTGCTGCCCAAAATCGTCATTTTACAAATTCCTAACTCTGGTTTCCTTTTAAAAGCTTTTGGCACTTGCTAAGTAGCCATACTCTGCTTCACGTTGTGTGTCCTGAGATACCTTTGTCTGCTGTCCATCTGACCGTGCGACTCTTGGCCATGCTTATTCATCACCAGAAACTAGCTGCTCAATTTTGTTGTCACTCAGGTAGGAGTGAAATTATTAATCATTATACTTCTTAAACATCCTATTTATGAAGATGAGTTGAAAATTGAAGTATTTTTATACATAAGTTTTTTGCTCCAGTTACTAACTCAGAAAAGCTAATTATGCAATATTACCTGAGAACTGGCCAGCTGATGCTAATTTTAAACAATGTGATACAGGTTGAATCTCTCTAGTCCAGCACCCTTGGGACATGACCAGTTCTGAACCAGAGAAATTTTCTGGACCATGGAAAGTTAATATATCTAGCAGCATTGCCAACACTTCCACTGCTTTCTGGGCTGCAAGGGGTAAATTAGAGCTAAATAACAGAACACTGAGAACCAGGACTGGAGGCTGTAACAAACTTTATGGAGCCACGGGAAACTTGGCCACACCCATGAAAAGCAGACCTCTATCTAACTAAAATAATTCTGGACTGCGGATGTTTCTAGACCAGAGAGTTCTGGACTAGAGAGGTTCAACCTGTATTTTAAAAACCACATGGACTTCTCCTCACTACTTTTCAGGTGTACATTCAAGATGTTAGGCTAATATGTAAAAGTGCTATTGAGAAGTAAAAATCAAATTTCCTCTAATTGGCACGTGACTTTACAGGACAGAGCTGGTCTCTGGAATAAAAATGAAAAACTTGGTTTAGCAGAGCACTAACTATGACTAGTGCTACAAAAATGGAAATCCCAAAAAGCAACAGATGAATGTTATACTGTAATAGAAATACATCCACCTTTCACTTCCCAAATTCTTAGATAAGGAATGCTTTCCTGGAAGTATCTGAATGGTTCTATTAAATGTGTATGCTCCTACTTGTCTCCACTTTCCATCCTCTAAAGTTTTTGTTCTTTATCTTACTCTTTTTTTTTTCTTCAGTTTATTTGTCCGTTAAAGAATATCAGAATAAGATTTAAAACAAAATGGAATTTTTATACATTTTTTTGTAATCTGTGTAATACAAATAATATGTTTAACTATTCATATTTATATACAATCAAATGCTTCAAGAATTAGGTTAATATTGGGTAGCAAATGGTTAACACATCAAGAGAAGTTTATGTATAGTTTGTTGTGGTTTCTGTGTATATACTTACCAAAAAAACACCAAAAAACAAAAACTGTCTAAACACTTACCCTAGTCATTAGACCCTGTTTATTGGTCCTGATAAATAAACCTCTATGTAACTGACCCCCAGAAACCGTTGAACAATTGTGGTGCTTTTTTTTTTTTTTTTTTTATAATGTATTGTAAAAGGTAACTGGGTTTTTTTGGAGATTTGTAGTCCTATATGTATTCCATTCTTTATACACATGTGTGCTCTTTTGGTCTCTGGTCCTATGCCTTAAATTTTCTTGCTCTGTGAATGGGCATAAAAGAATGGAGAGAGCCAACTCCTTACCTCCACAGTGAAGTTGGAACTACTGTCAGTCTCATTGCTTAGCTAAAAGTTCTAGGACTTATTCCAACATTTTAATTTTTCTAAGTATTTATGGTCCCTTCACCATGCTGTCTTTACCCTCACAACACTCACATTAGGTAGGAAAGTGCTATCTCCCATTTTACACACAATGAAATACTGAGAGAATAAGTGATTTGTCCAGGGTTGCCCAGAAATTGAATCCAAATCTCATGAGCATCTCAACCAGTGGACTGTCCATTCTTACTGGAAAAAAAGATCTTTGTATCAACAAACTTATCACATAATAGAGAACTTAATGAAATAATATAAATATAATTTCAGACACCTGGTAGCTTCTTGCACTGTACATGTATATCACTTCAAGACCAGATAAGTCTGCACCTGAAATGCTTTGGTTTCAGCTGGAACAAGAGGTAAGTGAAGACTCTCTTCATACATGCTGCTTGTTTGCTTCCTGAAAATGGAGGAACTGTTGAGCACTGCCCAAGAGTGATTTGGCTGAAGTTATCTGCCTCTGTATTGAACAACTAAACTTTTTTTTGTTTTCAGGAACAATTATTTGAAATTAAGATGTAATTTTTTAAGGGTTTACTCGGTCGTGTTCTTGTACTATTAGTTTTAGTTTCATCCTCACTGATACATTGTTGAATGTTGATAACTGTTAGCTGTGTGTGTGTTGCCCCAGTTCTGCACAGATAACCAGCATAGTAGACCCTGAGAGAACCCCCAAAGTGACCACAAAATGAGATAAGGGATGGAGGTACCAGGCCAATTTTGTTGCCAAATTAAGCATAGTTTCTAGCTTTCCAGATCATAGAATCCTAGAGCTAGAAGAGACCTCTGGAGGTCATCAAGTCCAGTGCCCTGCCCGAGGTAGGACCAATCCCAACTAAATCAACCCGGACAGGGCTTTGTCAAGCCGAGACTTAAAAACCTCTAGGGCTGGAGATTCCACCACCTCCCTAGGTAACCCATTCCAGTGCTTCACCACCCTCATAGGGAAATAGCTTTTCCTAATATCCAACCTAGACCTCCCCCACTGTAACTTGAGACCATTGCTCCTTGTTCTGCCATCCATCACTACTGTGAACAGCCTCTCTCCATCCTCTTTGGAACCTCCCTTCAGGAAGTTGAAGGCTCCTATCAAATCCCCCCTCACTCTTCTCTTCTGCAGACTAAACAAACCCAAAAGCCCTCTAATCATTTTGGTTGCCCTGCTGGGACCTCTCCAATGCATCCACATCTTTTTTGTAGTGGGGGATGCCCAGAAATGTACACATTATTCTAGATGTGGCCTCCCCAGAGCTGAAAAAAGGGGAATAATCACTTCTCTAGATCTGCTGGCAGTGCTCCTCCTATTGCACCCTAATATGCCATTAGCCTTCTTGGCTATAAGGGTACAATGTTGATTCATGTCCAGCTTCTCATCCTCTGTAATCCCCAGGTCCTTTTCTACAGAACTGAGACTTAGCCAGTTGATCCCCAGCTTGTAACAATGCTGGAATTCTTCCGTCCCAAGTGCAGGACTCTTGTGGCCCAATCCTCCAATTTGTCTAAGTCACTCTGGACTCTATCTCTGTCCTCAAGTATATCTACCTCTCCCCCTAGCTTAGTGTAATCCTCAAATTTGCCTAGGATGCAATCCATCCCCTCATCCAGGTTATTAATAAAGATGTTGAACAAAACTGGTCCCAGAACTGAACCTTAGGGCACTCCGCTAGAAACTGACTGCCATCCTGACATCGAGCCATTGATCACTACCCGCTGGGCCCAACCTTCCAGCCAGCTTTCTATCCATCTTACCGTCCATTTAGCCAATCCACATTCTCTTAACTTGCTGGCAAGAATATTGTGGGAGACCGTATCAAAAGCCTTGCTAAAGTCAAGGTATATCACATCCACTGACTTCCCACAGACCCAGTTATCTCATCATAGAAGCTAATCAGATTGGTCAGGCACGACTTGCCCTTCGCAAATCCATGTTGAGTATTCCTGATCGCTTCCTCTTTTCCAAGTGCTTCAAAATGGATTCCTTGAGGATCCCCCTCCATGATATTTCTGGGGACTGAGGTAAGGCTGACTGGTCTGTAGTTCCCTTGTTTGTCCTTTTTCCCTTTTTTAAAGATGGGCACTACACTTGCCTTTTTCCAGTCATCCGGGATCTCTCCCGATCTCCACGAGTTTTCAAAGATAATGGCCAGAGGTTCTGCAATGACATTTGCCAACTCCCCCAGTACCCTCGGATGCATTAAATCCAGGCCCATGGATTTGTGTATTTAGCTTTTCTAAATATTTCCTAACTTTTCCCCACCAAGGGCTGTCCACCTCCTTCCCATACTGCATTGCCTAGTGCATTTGTCTGGGAGCTGACCTTGTCCGTGAAGACAAGAGGCAAAGAAACAGTTGAGTACTTCAGCTTTTCCCACATCATCTGTCACCCCTCCCCCCCCCAGTATGTCTAGACTACATGGCTCTGTTAACGGAGCCATGTAAACTAGTTTACCTGGCATAGTCTAAGAAGCGGGGACTTAAATAATCCCCGCTTCATTAAAATAAACATGGCCGCCGCGCTGTGCCGACGATCAGCTGATCTGGCACAACGTGGTAGTCTAGACGCAGATCAGTCAGCTGGGGAAGCCTTTGCTGACTGATCCCTTATGCCTCGTGAAACTACTTGGCTTTTCCTCAGTGTGTTAATGACAGATTTTTTTCTGTTAAGTTATTGTACTATAGTCACTGTGCTATCTGAGTGCAAATTATTTGAGTACAACCTTATTTTATTATGTGCTTTTATATATAAATCAGTGCCAGACACCGTTCCCCATATAAAAAAGTGGGAGATCTTGTTTTTTCATAATCATAGAGCTGGAAGAGACCTCAGAAGGTCATTAAGTCCATCTCCCTGCTCTAGGCAGGACCAGTCCCAACCAAATCAACCCGGCCAGGGCTTTGTCAAGCCGAGACTTAAACACCTCTGGGGTGGAGACTCCTACTTCCCTAGATATCCCATTCCAGTGCTTCACCACCCTCCTCGTGAAATAGTGGGTGGTTTTTTTTGTTTTGTTTTTTTTTAAATATCCAACCTGGACCTCTCCCACTGTAACTTAAGACCATTGCTCCTTGTTCTGCCATCTGTCACTACTGAGAACAGCCTCTCTCCATCCTCTTTGGAAGCTCCCTTCAGGAAGTTGAAGGCTGCTATCAAATCCCCCCTCACTCTTCTCTTCTGCAGACTAAACAGACCCAACTCCCTCAGCCTCTCCTCATAGGTCAGGCGCTCCAGCCCCCTAATCATTTTGGTTGCCCTCCTCTGGACCCTCTCCAATGCGTCCGCATCCTTTTTGTAGTGGGGGGCCCAGAACTGGACACAATATTCCAGATGTGGCCTCACCAAAGCCGAATAAAGGGGAATAATGACATCTCTGGATCTGCTGGCAATGCTCCTCTTAATGCAACCTAATATGCCATTAGTCTTCTTGGTTACAAGGGCACACTGTTGACTCATATCCAACTTCTCATCCACTGTAACCCCCAGGTCCTTTTCTGAAGAACTAGTACTTAGCTGGTTCGTCCCCAGTCTGTAGCAGTGCTTGGGATTCTTCCTTCCCAAGTGCAGGACTCTGCACTTGTCCTTGTTGAACCTCATCAGATTTCTTGTGGCCCAATCCTCCAATTTGTCTTAGTCTCTCTGAACCCTATCTCTGCCCTCATATGAGTACCATTTAAGAATGTTAAATGGCATTTAATCCTCTAATTGAGTAGTTGATGGAATTTCCATACTTGATAAGAGGGGTAACTGTAGAGCTGCATGGGGTTAGCTCCCGGCCCTGGAACCTAACCCCACTGAGACTCTGTCTTTTTTTAAATTTATTAATAAATTTTAAAAGGCAAAGTGCAGCAGGGGGGACCAGGCGTGAGCTGGGACACCTGATTCCCGGCTTGCACACAGTCCCAGACGTTGCGCCTCTCCTGGCTGCCTGCAGAGATGGTTCTTCGGGGGGATGAGGGGGGACTGGCTTCTAAGCCAGCTTCTCTTCTCCCCCCCCCTCCCCCCGAG